GAAAGAAAAGCACGTTTACTAAAAGAGAGGTGATTTGTCACTCAGTCTGAACAGGAGAGACACCAGAATCAAGTCAGCTTGGATGCGTCTTCAGCACTGCAGAATCTGAGGAAGGCAGCATGGGCTTGAGTCGAACTAACACTTCTGGTTTTACTTCATTAGGAAAAATAAAAGCTTGTAAAATCGGCTATATGGAAAACCATTCCAGGCAGCAGAACTTCTTGAGACTCTTCTTTGAGAAAGAGATGTTTTGTTCCAAAAACAGGCCTGTAAATGGAGTATTCCCATTGATTCACCTCATGGATCTAACAGAGCTGCCTCAACCGGGAGGGCCAGACTTTGACTCTATACTCGATTAAGACAGATGAGCTCAGTGAAGACTGACACAGCACATGATTCAGAGCAGGAATCTAGCTTATGTGCTCTGAATCACACTTTCAAAAAAGCTGTCATTTTTCTCCCATGACTGAGTGGTAAAATTATTTTTCTTTCAACAATCTAGATGAGTTCCAGTAAGGCAACAGGAAACAGTCTTCTTTGAAAAGCTTTGTCCAATTTATGCTGAAAAAAAGTAGCTATATTTTTACTGAGTGATTTTGGCAGACAAACAAAACCACTGTGCCTGGGGTTACAAGGTGCACGAAAGGAGTTTGAAAGGCAAGTTGTGTGATAAAGCATCCCATGTAAAAAAACAATATGAAGCATAAATTTACTTAAACTAATTTAAATATTACATCATACCACAAGCAGCATCAGGAAAGTAAGTTGGTCGGCTTAGCTTCCGAGCTTGGTTTGAATAAGAATCTTGCAATCATGATTCTTTTAGCATCTCTGCATGAGGTTTTATAAGAAAGCTTTTAACAGTAGCACTACTACTGTATCTTCAGAAGTCAGACAGAAAGTAAACATTTTCAGTTTTTATTTCCAGAGTTTGGTGCAATCAAAATGACACTATTTAAGCAGCTAGTATCTGAATTGCAAATTTATAAGAGTTTCAACACAGTCCTTCATTAGAAAGGAAATCAGATAACAGCTTTAGCTGATGCAGTAGCTACTAAATAGGGTAGCTTTGTGCTTCTGTCTGTCTTTCACTTCTGCGCACTCTGTTGTATCATGTACAACTTTTTTTTTCCTTCACTTCTGCTGAAAAGGAGCTGTGAACTTGTGCAACTGGGCAGACAAAGAGCAAGGAAACTTAAAAGGGTTTAAAAGCCAACAGATCTGCAGTTAACGCCCTCGGTGACTAAAGTTTTGGTGCTGCTCCACATCACTCCCATGCTGGCCATGGCTGACGAGAGGGTTCCAGGAATGTGAATATCTACAGAATCCTTAAAAACAAGGCTAACCATCAGTTGGCAGCTCCCCGTCTATTCATCTGGGGGGAATAATTACTTTTAGTTGAAGCCATTTATTTGGAATACGAGAAAACCTACAAAATTCAGCCTACGCTATTTGGATTTTGTCTGTTTACAGGAGCTACTTTATTCCACTCAGCTGTTTCCACTGCTTAGGCCCACTGGAAATAGTCATTTTCCTCTTTATTCCCAAATACTGATGCTTACGTTCATGCAGTTCAGCAGATCACGGCTTAAAATAGACAACAATTTAAAAAAAAAAAAAAACAAAAACGCCACAAAGATGTAAGATCAAATGTTGCAATTTCTATTCCACATCAAAAATCCCAGGTTTTCTACTCACGTTGGTCAATCTCATTCTACACATAAGGCATCCTTGGCATTCAGCTGCAATGACCTATAACTGTGAAACGCACCGTTGTTTACTTGTTAGTAATTTATAATTAATATACTCAGTTAGTTTTTATCACACTTCTTGCTTAGAAACAACAGAACCTAAACAATTATGACACAGAACGCTCAGAGGAGCGTTTCCTGCAGGCTGTGTGTAACTGTGGGTATAACGAGCCTCGGCGCACCTCGAGGCCACGAGAAGTTAACAATCCTCAGAAACACCTGACTGAAAAATTGAACCTTTGGGTCACAAAATCTTCAGAGGGAGAAATTAAAACCTCTCAATGGGAGAATTTTAAGCAAATTAGGAGAAGCAGAGTTAGGCAGTTGTTTCTGTAAGTATAGGGTGAAATAATCTCTTTATGCTAAAGCTGTACCTACCGTAATTAGTACATTTCTTACGTGAAATTCTGAAGTTTTCCATCGAGTGCATTTCTCAGAGTTTAAGACCAAATACTAGCGATGTTGAAGGCACCCCAATTAAACCCAGAGTCGCGCAGGTCCCTGTTTTCTCCCTTCCACCAGCCGGCACCGTCCCTGCACTGCCATGGGCGGCCTCGAACCTGCAGCGGGCAGACCGGCCCGAGGGGAGGGAGGAACGGCCCAGGGAGCCACGGGCCTCGCCGCGGGGAGCTGTCGGCAAATTAATTAGGAGCTGTCGGCAAATTAGGAGCTGTCGGCAAACGAGGAGGCCGCAGCCATCAGCACCGTTCCTCTCTCGCCCTTTTCTGCTGTATTCCCCCCAGCCCACCTGCGCTCCCGCACCTTTGCCTCCTCCCATGTATTTTACCTCACGCTTTCCCTCCGATGGGAAGTCAGCAGCGCAATTTAGTGCCGTGACACCGGCTCCCCTGCGCCGTCAGAAGGAATCTTCAAAACGTTTTAAAGATTCTTCTGGATGCAAAGAGCGCAGCGAGCTCGGCAGGGTCTCCAGACCAAGCCTAGAGCAGGACACAGCGCGGGTGCGTCCCATCGCACCGCCGGCAGAAGGTTGTTTGGTTGGTATCTTTCCCAAATCCCGTTCTTTAAAGCAACTGAGCTCGTCCATGCTCCTCTTTAAGCTAGGGAGGAGGCGGAGTGCTAAATCCCCTGAATATCTGAGGGGAGCAAAACAAAGTCTGGGCACTGGTAGTGAGAAGACATAGCTTCAGCGTGGAGCTGAGGAGGAGACAAAGAGTTTAACGATGCTCGGTAAGAGGACGGCAAACAGGAGGGATGGTGATTTTGGATGAGACAAGAGACAGCACTGTGAAGAGGGACGTAAAGAGCAAAGGGATAAGGAGTTTAGATGCAGGTCTGTAGCAAGGAATTGGGAAGGAAAACTGGTGCAAGAAATTGTCAAGGAAGAAAGTGAACCAAGGCCAGATGAGGGCAATAGAAGAAATACTTGAAAAATACTTTTGAAAAAAATTACCCTCCATACCCTGTACAGTTCTGGAAACTTCGTGTTCCTTTGCTGCCACCAAATACCTACCCCAAAATCCATGTTGAGCCTTCTTCCACCAGCAAGTTTACACAGAGGAGACCTCTTGCATTTCCTACAGCAGAAACTTCTGCAACAGGATTACAGTTTTCAATTCTTCTGCTGAATTATCATGTCAGAGGCTATGATTTCTGCTTTAATCTCGTTTTTCAAAAACTCTTTAAATCACAAAAAAGGACAATATTAATGCAAAAAAATCCTCAACATCCCTGCAGAACACTCTTTATTCTAGTCAGACTCAAAATTCAAGTAAATCAGGTTTCCTTTGCGACCATAATTCTGCATTCTGATACAGGGATGATGTTCAGATTGGATAACTATATTCCACATTTAGACCAGATATTTTTCTTATTCAGTAGGAGGTGGGGCAAAATAGACCTGCTAAGACAGAATCAGAAGCCATCTGAGAATTTTCCAGAACTGATATCAGAAAGTTATACCAATTTGCAAAAACCTCAACATTTTCATCAGAACTCACTTTTATGATGGAAACAATAACAGAAGATGTATTGTGGATGCTTCACATCCACACAATTTTGAACATTTCGAATGTTTATACAAATACCATCACATTCCTTCCTTCTCTTTTTCCTTCTCATGGATTTACAGCAAAGCAGAATTACTAAAGCAAGTGGAAGTTTCAGTAACAGAAGACTTTTGTTTTCATAATTGACTTTCAAAATGGTAAGTAAAAAATCACCCTCTAACTTTTCCTGTTATTGTATATTGTACGGATACAAATATGCAACCACACAGAAACATTTATTCTCCCAAAATTAGCATTATTACTTTATTTGGTGATTCATTACAATCTGCAAATCCAATAGTCAAAAAAATAAACTAAGCATAATGTTAAAGCATTTTACAAGCAAAATACTTTACTGTTTCCTTTTCAATTTGCATAGGGTGGGATAAGTGTATTGGTTAAAGAATATAACCTACAGAAGAACAAAACCATAGTTCATCAAACTGTACTGAAGAGTGTTACCATCCTGTGAGCGAACAGTACTTAAACAGCTATAACTGCCAATGGAAAACCATACACTTCAACAAGGCTGCCTTCCCATGACCATGATGCATCATGAAGGCTGCAGGCCACTGGGCTTCTTTTCTTACATTGTAGATCATCCTACTTTAAAGAAATTAAAGAGTTAAACAAGCCAGAATGCATCTATCTATGCTCATTTCTTTTCTACTGGAACAAAAGCCAGAATGGAGAGAGGGAATTTTTAAAGTCAGCTTCTGAAACCACTTATAGTAATGTCTGTCTCTTGTACTTTCAGTGTCATGGAGCTAGCAAGCTTAGGTCTTCATCCACGTCTTTGTTTATTATTACTGCACGTTCAGGTAAAAAAAATGTATTTTTTCACTGTGTAGCAACAAACTGTAAAAAGATCATGCTCCTTTCCCATCATAACCACATCTCTGTTCCTCCAACTGTATAAATCTAGCTTTAAAGTCTCACAAAACTAAAAAATAGTTGATCTAGGTTGTAATAAAAAAAGAATATTAAATACCTTTGGTAAAAATAGATATATTTAACAAGTTTAGAAAAGCAAATAGTTATATTGTCAAAAGGAGAGTATAAAAATGTACACAATAAAAAATAACAAACAAACAAAAAATCATCAGGCATAGTAGTAAGAATAAAGGCGCTGCTCTTTTCAATGTTTGCTTCCTTAGCTCACGTTATTGTCCAGTCTTCTTTCTAAGAGGCAGGAGCTTTACTAGAGCACATGGAAGAATCCAGTCCTTCCTACCAGCATTAAACAAATTAAGTTTAATTTGGACCAAGACAGTCTGTTTTAACCCAAGTTTATACAACAGAGAATGCTTCGATTTAGAGTACATAGGAGTAGCTGAACACAGAAAGAAAGATTTCACGTGTTTTCAACCATAGGCCAGATGTACTGGAGCTGTAGAAACGAGACAGCCAGCAGGATCAAGTCTCCATGATGTGAGCCTTCTAACTTTGTTTTTACTCCTAAATTATAAATCCATGTGTTGTCAAGAAAATTCTGGGGGATAAAACAATACATATATTTTAAATCCCTCATTGATGCTTTCTCCCATCCTTTCACTAGGCCTCCAAGCAGAGCTGTCACGCAACGTATAATCCCAGGTCGTCTTCTCCTCTTTTTAGAGCTCACTGTAAATGCTGAAGATGGAAGATCCTCAAAGCAAACAACTGAGATTACAGAAGGAGATAATGCACAAGCCCCATAATAGAATCAGCCATTGATTGAATGTGCTTTGAAAGAAAACAGCACAATTAAATCATGTTTATCCTTCAGTATTCCCTTTGCAGACACAGTCACACTCCTCATGGTGTTCCAAGGGTACATCTGTCAATGATTTATGCAATCCCCGGACACCAATCCTTGGCTTCAGCTGAAGAACCTGAAGAAGAAGCAGCCAAGTGTCAAGAAAACAGCAAGTGCTTCATCACACACTTAGACTATGAGCTAGATTGCACTGGAAACACACTGGATGACAGGAAGCCTATGTCAAAAAGAAAGAAATAGGCTTTCCTCAGCTGAATTTCTTCATTTATTACACCCACTAATTACTGTTTTTACTTTTACCTCAATCCTTTTACAAAATTGATTAAAACATGTTGAACAGATACTTGCTTTTGTCAAAGAAGAGAATCTTGCAGTTTCATATTTCTACTTAATTTTATTTAAGGGCTAATAGTATAGTTAACCCAATGGAGATATTAGATAATTAATTAATAAATAATTTTAGCCATAGATTTATAACAACGGAAATAGACAGACATCTGTTCCTTCACAGAGTTCACATCTACCACTGGAGAAAGCTGAACAAGGAGGTGTGGTTGTGAAGTGTCTGAACTGCACCTGTAACCAAATACCTTAAGAATGACTTAGCAGCTCCACAGAAAAATATTTTAACAAGGAAGATACTATTTTTTTTTACATAACACATTTATGCAATACATAAAATTTTAAAATATTAATATTGGTGCATTCCTATAGTAAAAATAAATTCCTTAATTGGCTTTCAGTATTTCCAAACACGCAAATGTAAAAAAAGTGCGTACCTCATGGTATTTTTTGGTGACTTTTGTTGGTACACATTGGCACTCATTGCAACTCTGATGACAGCAGGCACAGTTTCCACCACAACGTTTGACCAGCAGACACAATGGCCAGAAGATGGTGTCAGTCCGCTTCAGCTCCTCCCTCAGTGACACTGAGAAGTTGCGAGGAGTACAACTGTACAGCCGCACCTCCTCCTTTAGGAGGTTGAGATCGACCACTGCAAAAAGACAAACAGGTGCTTTTCTGATTTGTAATCCAACTTCATTGGTGGTAAACCAAGTTCAGCAGTGCAGAATCCTTGAGGAAAGCTCATTTTTGTGCAGGTGGTACAGGTTTGGCACACAAGTATAATACTGCAGTTATACGAATACCATGAAAGTGAAATGGAATCACTGTTGTATAGGAATATTCATCAATTTTTTATCACTCTGGCAGAGTTGGTTCAAATCAAACAAAACAAGCTTTCATGACTGTGTTCCAATAAATGCTTTATCAAATCAACCCTAACGGAGTTCCCTTTATTCATGCTCACACTCTGAGCTCTAGTGTTGTTATTCTATATTAATTTTGGATTGTAGAAACACACACAGCAATTAAGAATCCTGCAAACCTCCAAACACATTTTTAATTCACTTGCATAAAGCATTCAAACTTCTTCCCTGCAAAAATTTCAATTATTGCTTCTTTGCAAAGGCGATGTAAGTGTAAGAAAGAACCAAACCATTTATATCTAAAAGAAACTCACTTCTGTGAACTAAGAACTTCAAGAAGTCATGTCATTATCAATGAATGCTGTACAGACAACAAATAAGTGTGCAAGTGTGTGTATTGTGTAACTATTAGTAGACTTCATTTTTCCCCTGCTCCTTCATAGCAGCATACACATGAGCTTCTGCTGTTTCTCTAGGCTTCACTTTCACTTGATGTGTCAAATAAAATACAGCTCCTTCTTGTGAACTCCTAACTTGAAGTGCAAGTTAAAGACATTGATATTTGGCACCAGTTTCCCTATAAACTGGTTCCACTGTATCACGCTAAAGTTTCACTATGCCAATGGTTAAACAGCAAGCTTATAAAAAAATCTGAAACAGAGCAAGATCCTTTAGGTTCACCTTAGCTGCATAGCCAAAAAATAACAGGCCTTGAAAGAGGGAGTTAAGACTGAAAAAAAAATGGGATTGTTTTAGTTAAAAATAGTTAATGCATCTTTTACTTTTGTGAAAAGCAATGTAGTTTCATTTATTTCAGAAAAGCCAGACTATAACGATTACGATCTGAGATCTTTTGTCTAAACTGTTTCTCTCCAAACCTACCACCATTAAGGAACAGAAGTAATGTCTAATTCACAGGGGTACTCTGCCTAGTAAAAAAAGAAATGAAAAGGGAAAGGAAAAAAAAAAAAAGGAAACAGAAAAAGAGAGGAACAAAGGGGGGAAAAGGGAGGAAAAGAAAAAGGGAAAAAGGAAAAGGGAAAAAGGAAAAGGGAAAAAGGAAAAGGGAAAAAGGAAAAGGGAAAAGGGAAAAGGGAAAAAGGAAAAGGGAAAAGGGAAAAGGGAAAAAGGAAAAGGGAAAAAGGAAAAGGGAAAAAGGAAAAGGGAAAAAGAAAAAGGGAAAAAGAAAAAGGGAAAAAGAAAAAGGGAAAAAGGAAAAGGGAAAAAGGAAAAGGGAAAAAGAAAAAGGGAAAAAGAAAAAGGGAAAAAGAAAAAGGGACAAAGAAAAAGGGAAAAAGACTATAATAATATGGCTACTGAGATGACTGAAAAAAAGGTCTCGAACAAAGCAGCAAGAAGCTTTAAACTAACTGGTTTCGAGCTAAATAAAAAAGAAACTAGGGAAAAAATTATCGCAGTGCATTGATATTACCTGACAAATACTTTATGGTTATTGCTAGCAGTTCATAAATAAAAAAACTATAAAATAAAGCTAAAATATGTTCCTGATCTGAATCACCCTCTAGAGAAATACCTTTTTTCCTCAACTATGTGAAGAACCTCTAGAGGTCACTAAGGAGAACTTGAGCCTATCAAGGCAAGATAATGCCTCTTAATTCTATTTAAACACATAAGAAATAAAAAGAATTTTAGAAGCTGCATTTCTCTAGTAGAAATGCTCACTAGTACTGTCCCAGAAGCAGATCTTTGAGCAGCAATTTCATTCCATGTTTCTTCAAACGTTTCTTTTGCAGACCATATCCACATCCTGGCATTCACAAGTAAGCGTTTATTGTGGAAGGTCAGTTAAACACACTGAAGCCTTTTCTCTGCTTGCACTTACTGCCAAGCTGGGGCACTTCATTCCATCACTATCAGGTTAACATAGGCTCCTAAATAAACAATCTGATTTTTAAAAGCGAGGAGTGTGTAATAACTCCAATAAAGTTACTGATAGGACGCCAGCCTGCCTCCCACACCGCAAGAGCATTCCTTTGAGAAAGCTGAGAAGGGAGCAGAGGAAAAGAGAGACAAAACTTCTGGGGGAGAGATTCACTGTGAGAAATCAGAAATGATTTAAGCTCTTCTGATCAGCTAATAGCTCTAGGCTGAGGCATTTAGAGGGTGGACATGTCTCCCTTCATTAATCAAGGACCATGGATAGGAATGGGGTACTTCTTTCTCCTGTCACATTTTTAAACATACAATAAGCGAACTGTCTGAATGAGGATAAGATGCCTAAAACACAATGAAAGAAATGCTAGTTCTGCTAATACTTTCAGCTGGTTGATTTCTACAGAGACCGACTTCCTTGGTACAGTGAATTTCAAGAAGCTAAGCTTGTGCACCCTAACACAATTGCTGCTCAGCCCTCCACCACGAGAAATTGAAAATGGAAGCCCGGCACCGATGCCTCTTCCAGCAGGCCCAATGATCAGTGGGAGAGAGATCCCTGAGAGACATTGTGCTCCGTTATCTCTTGCCTACCGGCGGCAGCAGAGGAACGCATCCATTTTCCAGTACTAGCTGTAGTTACAACAGAGAGAAAAGGGCAATGCACTAAAATAAGAAGCAAGCGTATTACATATTTTGTCACAAGATTGGAATGAATTTGAACTGAACCTCTCAGAGCTGCAGATCCAAATTTTAAAAAGGTTCTGTGGAAGACGACACAATCAGCTGTTAGCAGATATATTTTAGTGTGCCTTACTGTTACAACAGGTTACAGGAGAGATGAAAAATGTCATTTGATTTCCATGCTTTACAAGGTACTAAGGTATACTGCTATTATACCTCACAATGAACCCTTGCCCTACCTTATGTAATTCAATTTCATTAAAAGGTCTGTGGCAAATTTATCTAGTGCTTATATAATCACTTCTTTGAAGTGTGTAAATGAAGTTGTTATTTTTTCAAAGAGTATCTGTCTGTCCAAAATTTATTTTAACACGCTGTGGGCACAAAGCTAGATGAGAGAATGTATATGTTCCCTTAAAAGTGTTTACTTAACCACAATAAAAGGTTACGTGGATTTCCCAAGTGCACTGAGTTACAGTACCTGTTATAATGTGAACATTTAAACACTCCTTCAACTTGGCTTCCACTCATGTATCATGTTTGACACAACAGTCAAAGTTCTTTTGTCTAGCACTAGCTTGGGAGGAATGGAAGGCTCTGCAGTAGCACATGAATGGGAAATGCTAAAATAAAAATAAGGGGAGAAGGAAAAAAAGGTAGAAAAAAAATGTACATGCAGGTAGGTCTACAGTAAAGTCTATTTGAAAAGTATGCCTTCACTAGGTCATACAAGTGAAGTAATTTATGGTCACACCAGCCTGAAGGTAACTATGTTCTGCTATTGGCAATGCAACTGTCTGGCATCTTCTGGGACATGTATCAAGTACCACAGGGAACCCTCTTTCTCAAAACATTTTTCCAGCTGGATGCTGTTCTCAAAGTCAATAAAATAAATTAAATTCTGGTTGAGCCACTTGTGTGTGGGCACAGATAGCAGCAGGATGGTTTTCATTCCTAAGCACCTTGGAGACGTTCCTGGGAGTGTAAGTCTCTTACTGGCTCCTACAATAGGACAGAGCTGTTACAAATGATGAGTAAAAGAAAAAAAGTTACATAACTATACCAGAAAAGTATCTGCTAAGGACTATGGTTAGATTGTGACTCTTTCCTTCTTCTTAAGCAGACTTCAGAACATGGTCTAATGATCACTCATAAATTTCTGCGGGAAGCGATGGGATCGTTTTTTTTGCACAGCAAAATATATTTTATTTTTAAGTATGTTTAATATTATAAAAGAATTTAGGACTATATTTAGACATCAAAGCCTCTGAACTTGGTGTTTCTTCTTTCCTGGCTAGAAGTTTTTGGAAGCATTTTATCCAGAAAAAACATCAGACACAGACGCTCTGTGGAATTTAGGTTGTCTAAATATAGTCTTTTCATATGAATTATTAAGTAGGAGTAGAGGACAATACTATTCTCTTCTCTACATAAAGTAACATACACTTCTAATTACATTTTCATTTAATCTAGATGTAAACTAACGTGTGTCTATGAAAGCAGGACAGTAATTTAGCTTTTATATTGAAATATTGCAAAAATAAGACTGATCTAATTATAGAATCAGAGTTTGAAAAAATCAAACATTTTAGGGCGTGCACTTGTCCCAAACATTTCTTAAAAAGGCTTTTAAATACAGCAAACATGCTACTAGAAGGAATAACATTAAAAAAAGAAGGGAAAAAAAAATTGCTTTCCGTATCTACTGAATAGACGTAACAGTTAATACTATGTCGTCTCAACTGGACACATTTTCCGCCTCAGGCTATTACATTACACACTCGGTAATGCAGTCTGAGGGTGGTCTCTTAAAGATAAATGTGGCAATACTGTGATATGTTTATTCAGTGGAAAAATCTATTTCAGCATCTAATTAGAAGTCTTTAAAAGATTTACTCTGATAGTTTCTTTCTAAGATATGTCTTTCAGGGAGCTGCTTTTGTCTATATAGATGTTATCCAACACCTGCATTTTAGTTTATGTAAGGTTTCACAAATCACATTTTGTTTCTCTCCCACTTACTGTATGCTTATGGCATACATTTGGCAAATACTGAATCTCTTTTTGAACTAGGAAAGTGTTAAATGACTATCTGGAAGGCATGGTCCATCGCTGAAAGCTTTTAAAGAGACTTCTTAAAGAGAAGAGACTCTTAAAGAAGAGAATCTCTTAAAGAGACTCCTCTTTGACTCTTGATTTAGTTGCTGTGTGCATAGCTGTAGCAATACAGGTAGAGTAGAAGGGTTGATTTTTAGGCTCCGATCCAAGAATCATAGAATGGTTAGGGTTGGAAGGGACCTCAAAGATCATCTAGTTCCAACCCCCCTGCCCTGGGCATGGAAACCCTCCACTACACCAGGTTGCCCAAAGCCTCATCCAACCTGGCCTTGAGCACTTCCAGGGATGGGGCATCTACAACTTCTCTGGGCAACCTGTTCCAGTGCCTCACCACCCTCTGAGTGAAAAATTTCTTCCTTATATCTAATTGAAATCTCCCCTCTTTCAGTTTAAATCCATTGCCCCATGTCCTATCACTACATGCCCTTTTAAAAAGTCCCTCTCCAGCTTTCCTGTAGGCCCCCTTTAAGTACTGGAAGGCTGCAATAAGATCGCCCCGGAGCCTTCTCTTCTCCCGGCTGAACAGCCCCAACTGTCAAAAACTTAAATTTGAGTTTTGAAATGTTTTACTTCCTCCCTTTTCTTCCTGATCAGATGATAATCTAGTTTACGTTTGTCAAGAGAGTTTACTCAGTTATGCTCATATGTTTTTGTTTTCATGTTGTATGGTGGGCAAGGAAGGAGGTATTGCCTGCATGCTATCCATCCACATGAAATTCATTAACATGAAATAGTGGGCAGCATCTGGATGATGCGTGGTAGAAAACTCATGAACGTCAAATGTAGATGGAAGAAAATGACTTGTAAACAAGAATTAGCTCCACAAGTCTTGAAACACATAATCTACTTTACACCTGATTAAGCTGATAACTCCATGATCAAACTGGACATGGACACAAGGATTTCATGAGGTATCATGGAAGAGAAACATTTAGCTAATTGCTCTCAATCTGTAAGGTGTAGAGACTGGAAGAATTCAAAGGAAATAAACTAGTTGTTCACATGATACAGTGAGAGTAAGAAATTACCTACCCCCCCCAAAAAAATAAAGTTTTTGCCCTCCATAAAAAAAGAAACCCACCAAGTTAGATTATGTCGCCCAGCCAAGATGCCCAGCTACTTTGTAGAATACAGATCTCTCAGGTTCCCAACACAAAACTACCCTGCTTTTAGGGTAGTTAGTCTGCTAACTAATCTGCTTCTATTTTTTTTTTTTTTTCTTTTCTTACTTTAACCTGCTAAATTCCTTTAAGTTCTGAGTTTTGTTATTGTACTTTTTCGGATAATATAATGGTGAGAATAGCTAATGACAATGGTCTCTGCTGCATTTCTAACGTATTCCTTTACTGGAATCAAAATTCAAGGTGAAGAATGATCTTAATTATTGCTTCTTTGTTAATAAAACACACCTGTAGAAAGCTGCAAGGCCAGACAGAAGAGTAATTTACCTCTTGATTTCCTCCCATGAATATACGCCTTTCCAAGAAGTTGCCATGTTGGCCTGTACAAATCTTCCAAATCCAGTTGCCACCGATCTGGTTCAAGGTACCGGATAAGTTCTTCCACAGTACTAAATCCAGCAACAGCATTGTTCAATACATCTAACGGTAAGGCTGATGGGGGTAGCGATGATGGGCTAGGTGCTTCCGTGTGGTGCTGCAATCAAAGGCAAGAGAAGAGTACCAGTCAGAGGGTTAATGGACCTGCTTTGATGAAGTGCTCTACTTTATGAAGTTACATAGCTGGGAAAGTTTATAAGTGGCTAGCTTGTTTCCAATGTACAGTTTACCTAATAAGACAAATGACAAGAGTCAAAAAGTACCTAATTATTCTTCAGTGGCAACTGTAAACAAATTTCCACTAGACAGTTTTCCCACTTCTTACATTCCCAGCCTTGAAGATAGCATCCCACTATCCCTGTTCTTTGAAGAAGTTCACTGAGCGACGGACAAGAATTTAGAAATAGACAAAAAGAGTAATTTGAAAATATGGCCCCGTTACAGGCAATTACTGTAACCCTCTAAAAATCTGAGGAAACGTGCATTTCACATGCTGCCTGTCCTCTGAAACTTAGCCGCAATCTTTGTCTTCTTGTCTTTCAATGTAATAGATGAACATATCCTACTACAAAGATCGCAAATATTCCCACTCTCATCCATAGATGAAAAAAAGCACCGGTTGTGTTTCATATAGTACTAAGAATCATGTTTCTGGTTAAATGATAATGAACAGAGTAATAACAACATCTGGCATTACTGTAATTACTTCTCCCTTAAGAAGAAGAAAAAAAAAAACATGTTCCCAAGGATATCAAAAGTACTTGAATGCTGAAATTGAGTACTGAAAAAGTATACGTACTTTCCCACCACACAAATCTCGCTGACAAACCCACTGATCAGGGGTACTCAGTGCCAGGCAATTCAAGCAAAGTTAGGCTTTTCTGCTTTTGCTCATTCTACATGAAAAAATATACATCGATTCGTAATTAAAAAAGGCAGGAAGGGAAGTCTAGGTAGGAACCTGCTGCTGCACCACTGTAAGTTTCTTTAGGCATTTCCATAGGTAGACATCACTTCAGACATTATGTCCACAGTACTACACCAGAGCAATTTATGTAGACCATGTAAGGAGGATGAAGAAAAATTCGAACATATTGCTGATTTAAGGGATGAGAAGAACAAGAAATCTCTATCTTAAATGCATTGTGCTACATGCATCACTGCTGTCAAGTGTAGTCCATACAAGATTTAGGGAAAATTTATTCACTGTAAGTACAGTCAGTTTTTGGAAAAGTTTGCCCAGAGAGGCTGCACAGTATACATCACTGGAGGCTTTCAATACCTGACTGGATAAAGCCCTGAGCAATGGTCTGACCTCAGAACTGACCCTACCCTGAGCAGGAGGTTAAACTAGAGACCTCCTGAGGTCCCTTGCTGAATTTTCCTACAACAATCCTAACAACATAATGTTAAGAATGGAGGACCGAAAGTTTTTCCAATAAGTGAACTAACATATTTCTTGTCTGCACGTCGTTTTTATTTATTTATTTATTTATTTTTCATTAATATGTATTTATCTATATTTATATATATTTAAATAGATATATCCTCACACCACTTGGTGTCAAAATAGCACTCTCAGTACTCTAATGTGAAGTGTATACATACTATAATTTTTTGCATCTATACTGTCAGCTCAATTGTATTCATTTACCTTTTCAAAATGATCCGATAAGATGCTGAGAAACACAACAGTTGTGTAAGAAAAAATTATTTAATAAACAATCCTTGAAACACTACATACTGAACAGCAGTTTTCTAAAATACATATGCCTGTGACAGCTGTATTTCATACCAATAATTATATTTTCCTTTCTGTGCTCTCAATTCAATTAAATATGTTTTTTTGGTTTCAGCTAAATGTGTGGTTGAAAAGGCAGCAAATGAAAGTAACCACCATGCTCTTCCTATTTTTTGCTTCAAGGGTTTTTCGCTCTCCATCTTCAAGAAATGCAGTTACTAGAATGACTTGTGCTGCTTTTTAACTGGGATCCTTGCAAAGATAATACAAACCATAGATCTAGTGTGCTGCTACTATTAACTTTACCATATTTTCATTTTGCTAATCTAGCATAATTTTCAATAGAGTGAGTGAAGTAGGTGGTTCCCATTCTGAATGAATGTGGATTTCAAAAAGTTAAAACATTTCTTTTCCTCTTCACTGCCCACATTAAAAATAATAACATGTTGATCCATCTATTAGGTTATGATAATAAAGCAACAGATTCTGGTCTATAATTTAAATATTTGCTCTTAGCAAGACATGCTACTCAGCAAGTTTCAAAATAGTGCTGTGACACTATAATTCAGATGGTCAAAAAAATAAATATTCCAAAATTTTTCTTCCTGTTTTTCTCCACGATGATGTATTTGTAAGAGTCATATTTCCTGGTTTAAAGGTGTAGGGGTTTTGCTAAGGTGAAAAATAAAATAAGGATCAAATGGTAGAACTAGTACCTGAAGGAAAAAAAAATCTTTTATTTTGTTTCCAGCTGAATAATTTATTTTGGTGTCTCACTTCTATTGGGAATTTTTGTTGCCAATGAAATAGATGGATTCCAGATGAAAATCCATTACTCTGGAATCTATTTCCACATTCACGACTTAGAAAACGCACACTTAGCAATACATATATGGGAACTACCCCATCGATTTATGTTATTCTAGATTCAGTAGGCATTTGTATGAGTTAAAATGTTACGAGGATATGGTGAATCACCCCGCTTAATGGTAACACAATTAAAGTTGTCATCACTTTCTAATCATTTTCACAGCCAACCAAAACATAAAGTAATTGAAAGAGCAAAATTGAACAACTTTGAAGATGAACATTTTAGAATAAAGTAGTTAAAATCTCAAGATTAAGAATGTTTTTCCCAATAATCCCTTAATTTAGCCAATTTGATGACAGTTAAAATGTCCCAAAGATTAAAGATAATTGATGTCATAAAGCTATACGTGCTGTAATTTATATTTATAACATAATAACCTTTATGAAATCTCAATTCAATAAATTTCTTAATATAAATGGTAATTCAAATTATACTCTACATTGCTTTTACTTGCTAATCAGTACTACTTATTTTATAAATTAAACCTTCTTGACAGAATAGAATGTCCAGGGCAGCATAAACGGTACTCCTTCATTTGACTAGAACTATATTTTGGAATTTTATACAATGTATAATTTCACTTGGCTTTCTCAAAGTTTTTTTCGTGTTCTATGGGCAATGTTTACACCTGCAGTAAGGTTTTATTCTCAGAGGAGATAACAGGAGAAATGACTTAATGCAAGAAATTAAAACTCAACTTCATTGACGGGATGTACCTTTTAGAACAAGCAAGCACAAAATTTCAGCATAACTCTGAAATGTAGCATCATAGTTGCAACTTCAAAATGCTGAAATGCCCCTAAAACGGAGCTTTCCCTCACTTTATAGCAAGTCCATAACTTCTATTACAATTCCTTCCAATTAAATAATCTCAGATAAAAATCCATATGCCTAGAATTTAATCTACATCTCTCTTGACATTCCTACTCTGACCCTTGCTGCCTCCTGACACAAACTGATGCTGTCAAGTTACTTTCTGTGCAGTGCTACTGACATCAGCGCTCAGTAAGTCTCAAAGATGCAATTTCATTGCAGGACGGTGGTGTGAAAGCCTCACAGCAGGACCACCAATGAGCACTAGCTATTTTGCTGCACAATATTCATGGAGACGATGTTACAATGAAGTAGCTGTCAACTGTACATCTATTCTATAGCTGGCATCACCTAACTTACTTCATAGAACTATATCATATCTCCCCTAACAGGTCAGCTAGCTCAACCTTTGATATAACAGACGTCTCTTTATCTGACAGGGGAGACATAACCCAAGACAGTGGACACTTTCTTAGGTACAGCAGCTATCGAAAATAGCTTCCCTGATGGAGATCACTTACTGGGAAGTGATGTTCTCCAAGCTTTTCAACAATAAATACTAATTTACAGTCAACATTTTTTCTATCATAGTAGCATATCCTTGATTAATAACAATGTTCTAGGTTTGAGACCACTTTTTTTTTTTTTGCTTGAGCATGAATAATTTCTGTCAAGATAGATTTGAAAAATACAACAATAGGTTCTGTATTTTGATGTCATTCCTCTAGTAAACAAAACACTCCATGGTTTTTGGTTTTGTGCCCAGGAAACAATTTCAATTTACTTTAATAAGAATAAACATGTTTAAAACCAAGATAGAGCCAAACAGTTGCATCTTTACTGTTAGTTAAAATCATTCAGGATGAAAACCAGAGCAGAAAACATAGGGCTCTGCTGCCTTGTAGCACAGCCAAGAATGACAATTAGTGTTGGATCAAACAGAATTTTCATTAGGTCTGTTTATATTGTATTTCTGTATGTGTACTTCACTCTATCAAAACAAATACCTTGTAGAAATCTCCTAAGGTGTTTACAAGTGTAAAAGACAAGCAAATACACCAAATTTAGGCAACAGTCTAACATATGGGCTTGGAAAAAAGGAAGGAAATATAAAGACTAACTTCACAAAACTATCCAGCCCTGAATATTATACATAACAACAGTACCCCAGAAAAAACTTGGGGAGTAAAATGCATTTTCGTGTGCTCATAATGTTAGTTGTGCTCTATTAAAGGAATCAAAGCCACTCCATCTAGCCTCTTTCTCAAAGGGGAAAGGGTAGGATACTTCTAAAAGTAGAATGAGAAAGTGACCATCAGTGAAGCAGTAAATCTGAACAAAATGTGCAACAAATGAATTTGAAATTACCTAGCTGGAAGCTCAAACCTAAAGGATGATTTAGTATGTAGCCTAACTTGAAGACTTGTGATTAATTTCTTCTGACACATTTCCTGTGTGATCTTGAGCATAGCATTTAGGCCACAGCTTCATAGTGTAAAGCATCTGGCAGTAGCATCTCCTTGCTGTGCCAGCATGACTGTGTACGTGGCTGTATCGTAAATACGAAGTAATCTTTCTGAAAAAAAATATTTCTCCTTTCCTTTTTTCTTTAACTGCAATTTTATTCACAGCACAGACCTCCAACAGCTAAGCCATCACAACCAAAAGCACA